AGGTAGATTCATGAGGGTAGCTTTTATCAAAGTGATCCTCCCACCCAAAGAGATATAATTTTTCTTCCAAACAGCTAGTCTCTTTTCTAACTTCTTCAAGATTGGGGTCCAGAACCTATTCTCCCTAGGGTTTGCTCCCGACGGAAGCCCTAAGTAAGACAAAGGTCAGGAGGAAATGGAGCACTCAAGACAGCCTGCAATCGCCTCAACCTCCTCAAAAACTAAATTTACTCCGGCCATGCAACTTTTTCCTAGATTGTTTTTTAAATTAGAGACTCCTTCAAAAACTGTAATCAATTCTTTCAAATTTTCCACCTTCTCACCGAAACCTCCCTCACAGAAGATCATCAAGTCATCTGCAAACTGAAGGTGAGTGACTGGCATTCGGTTTGTGCCTACTCTCCAACCCCTTATCACATTTTCCCTATCAGCACTAGTGATAATTCGACTAAACACATCAGCTACCAAGGTAAAGAGGAAGGGTGAAAGTGGGTCCCCTTGTCTAATTCCCCTACTAGTTGGAAAAAAATCCCTCACCACCCCGTTTACTAGGATGGAATAGTGACAAGAGCTAACACAACCAGTCATCCAACTACACCATCTTTCCCCAAACCCACACTTCCTCAAAACCTCTAGTAGGAATTGCCAGTCCMCCAAATCATAGGCTTTCTCTAGATYAAGCTTACAAACAAAGCCTCTCTGCTTGGACCTCTTCATCTCTTCCACACATTCATTGGCAATCAGAATCTGATCAATTATCTGGTGCCCTTGGATGAAAGCCCCTTGAGCCTGACTAATTGACCTATTCATAGAATGAAAATGTTGCTAGAGCCTACTGGTTGAGAAACCAAGTGATTGTTACTAGGCAGGGTGATTGTTAGTAAAGCTCTCTCCAAACCTGAGCGGAAGACAACAATGTAGGAGGAAATGAAAGCCTTGATCTAAAATCAAATGTGGGAGATTGTGGATTTACTTGATGGCAAGGAGATAGTTGGCTGCAGATGGGTTTATATAGTGAAGTATAAGGTTGATGGGAGTATAGAAAGGTACAAGGCAAGGCTGATTGCAAAAGGGTACACCCAGACTTATGGCATAAATTACTTGGAAACTTTTGCACTAGTGGTAAAGATGAGCTTAGTTCGGATTTTTTTATCACTAGCAGCTACATACTCTTGGCCACTCTTCCAACTTGATGTGAAGAATGCTTTTCTCAATGTGGACTTGCAAGAAAAGGTGTATATGGATCTTCTAGTTGGCTTCTACAATGATGTGGAAAAAGGAAAGGTATGCAGGTTGAAGAAGTCTCTATATGGTTTGAAGCAATCACCTAGAGCTTGGTTTGACAGGTTTTAAAGCACATTGGTTGTATTTGGCTATACTCAAACTCAATTTGATCACACTCTTTTTGTGAAAAGGTGGAGGTCACTGGTGTCGGTTTTGATAGTGTATGTGGATGGCATTTGTAGTGATTCGAGCGAGATTGATACCTTGAAGAAGAATCTACACAAAGAGCTTGAGATTAAGGATCTTGGGGAGTTGAAGTACTTTTTGGGCATTGAGGTGGAAAGGTCCAAGCATGGAATCTTTATCTCACAGAGGAAGTATGTTCTAGATCTACTACATGAGACAGGAAATCTTGGGGCAAGGGCAACTGAGACACCTATTGATCAGAATAAGGTGAACTAGTGAAGGATGTTGGAAGGTATCAGTGGGGCGGTTGCTATACTTGTGTACGACACGACCATGCATCTCTTATGCTGTGAGTGTGGTGAGTCAATACATGCATGCCTCACGAGTTCAGCATTGAGAGGCTATTTATAGGATACTTTCCCATTTGAAGGGACACCCAGGTAGAGGCATATTATTTGCTGACCATGGACAGTTGAAGTTAGAAGCTTACACATATGCTGATTGGGCAAGGTGTCTAGATGATAGGAGATCTACATTAGGGGTTTGCACTCTTGTTGGTGGTATTCTAGTTTCATGGAAGAGTAAGAAATAGACAATTGTGGCAAGGTTAAGTGCAAAATCTGAATATAGAGCCATGGCACATGGTGTTTCAGAGCTCCTTTGGATTTGTTCCTTATCAGGGGGGATTGGAGTTGAGGCTAAAGAACCTATGGTGCTATATTGTGACAATTAAGAAGCAATTAACATTGCCCACAACCCAGTTCAACATGATAGGATGAAGCATATAGAAGTGGATAAACACTTTATAAGGGAAAGGGTGACATCCAGAGAAGTTTGCTTACCATATGTTGCATCTGACTTGTAGTTTGCTGATGTTCTTACAAAAGGTGTTGCAAGAAACAAGCTGGAGCATGATCTACACAAGTTGGGAATGTGTGACAATTAYTCCCAACTTGAGGGGGAGTGGAGTTTTGGGCTTATATTACTTGTTTTTATTTACATAACATAGTTAGGGAGTTATTGGGCCTTAGGCCTATTAGTTTATTTTTAAGTTAAGAGTGCTCATTCAGTTCTTACAAGTAGGCGACTTACTAAGGTCATACTTGTCTTTGTACCCTCTTTTATTTATGAGTATATAATTTAATGAAAGGGATGGTCAAATTTAATTTTTTGGCTTCTCCAATTCTCTTCTATCTCTTTTCTCTTTCTTTCTCAGCTGAAACCTTTTCTTCTTTCTTTTATAGTTTTTATATCAAAATAGGTCATCCAAACTTTTCTACTGGCAGCAAGCATGTTCTCAGCATAACATAACATACATTCTTGTTGAAGATATTATCAAAGAAGTTGATCAAGAAAATGATGGTAGAATAGACTACGGTGATTTTTTTGCTATGATTCAAAAAGGAAATGGGGGAATTGGAAGACGAACCATGAGGAACAGTCTGAATATGAGCAAGATAGATGCACCAGAATCTCATTAGCCTTTGATTATGCACATCATGTACAGGGATATTGGCAAGTACAACAAGGCCTGAAGAGAAGAATCGATGGTAATGACTTCAAAGATGCAAGTTTGGTTGGTATCCATCTTTGAAACCTTGAGACATATTACAGAAGCTTCAAGAATGAAGGTTCTATGACTGAGCATTTTGTTAGTCATGCCTGTTTGTGGCCAAAAAATTGGAAAAAAGAAAATCCATATGACTTCGTTGAATGTATGCTTCTCCCATTTGAAGTTTGAAGTTTTGTTTGTGAAAAAAAATACTGTTTCTTCTCCTTGTTATCGATTATATTGCTAATTCTGTAAAAAATTATTAATTTTGTTTGTGTAATAGGATGTGATGTTTGGTGGCACTGAGACCATGGCGTCAACAATTGAGTGGGTCTAAAATGAAGGGTTCAGGAGAGTAACTGAATAAACTCCGGGTTAACCAGCGAGGGCATCGGAACTAGCCTTTGTAAATCTTCTTGTAGATGACCATGATGTTTTGATCATGGAAGGGAAGATAACCAGCCATCAAAACAAACAAAATCACTCCGCTAAGAGGAGATATCCACCATATAGGTATTTTTGAGTCAGAGGTTTTAAGAGAAAACGGGCAAGAAAAAGAAAATAGAGAAAGTTTAGTGGGGTATTTTGGTAATTTAATGCATTCCGTTATCTGACTTAATGACTGAGGGGGTCTTTGTCTAACGATTAAAGTTCAAGGGGGTCTTTGTCGCAAAAAAAGTACAAGGGGGACTTTGTCACTGACCCCATAGTACAGGGGCGTCTTTGTAATTTACCCTTTAAACAATAACTAACATTGTTTGATATATGTCAGAAATTAACAAGAAACTCTTGGCCATATTTAGAAATGATGTGACATAGAAACAACTCTAAAATGAGGCAATTCAAGATAATTTTTCTTTAATAAACTAATTATTCATCATCATTGTTATCAATAAGAGTATTCTCTGATACTGAACTCTCATGTACTAATTACCCTACCTCTTGTGATTGCTCATTGCTAGGATGTGAATAACCAAATCCTCTACGATTCCATAGTGACAATGTTAATAAGTTAAATTGGGCTATTATGTCTGTAACAGTCAAGTAAAATGATTCATGATTGGCTATTTTCTTTTGTAAACATTCAATTTGGCATTTCCCTGTTGCTTTTATTAGATTTATTACCTTTTGAGGAAGTAATAATATGGCTCAACTGATGTTTTCTTGCAGCTGATTACCAAAATGAAGCAGAAGTTGGTGAGGCACTAGCAGAAGCATTTCAGACTGGCCTTGTGAAGAGGGAGGACCTTTTCATTACCACCAAGGTCAGTTTAGTTGAAGCTCTAGTAACTCTTTGTCTCTCCATGGTTGTCTTATACCTAATTCCAGATTATCCAAACTACTGACAAATAATTTCCATCCACTCTTCTGGCTGCAGCTTTGGAACTCGGACCATGGACATGTTCTTGAGGCTTGTAAGGACAGCCTAAAGAAACTTCAGCTAGAATATCTGAATCTATATCTTGTTCACTTCCCTGTAGCCACAAGGCATACTGGTGCTCCCTTGCTGCTTTTCATCTTCTACATCTCTTTGTATGATTTGCATGTTGTAATTTTAATTTTGATGAACTTGGTACCAAGTATTATATATGTTTATTAATTCAGCTACACACAGTATTGGAGGGTCTGCATCTTCAATGGTACATGGCCTGAAAATTGTGATAACTGGAGTATCTTAAAATCTAACACTTGGATGGCTAGGAAAATATGAAATTTATTTAACTTTGAGGACTATGCCAGATAGTTGTGAGTGATCAATTGGCCTGGTGATTGATCTCTACCCTATTAAGGATATGGAGTGGGATAGGGGAGGGAGGCACCATTACTTGGTATAGTGGTAAAATCTCGGTCTGTCATGCATGAGAACACAGGTTTGAGTCTGAGAGTGGCCACTTTGTGCCAAAAGTGCCAAAGGTTAGGACCTTATCCAGTCCACCCCTCCCAATACCCCAGATGGCTGGGACCAACATTGGGTAATGGCCTTTTGGTGGGATAGGGGAGGGGATGGATGTAAGATGGGTTAATTAAAGATTATGAAACTCAGTTATTGCCCCTTCACTTGTACACATGTGGTTAACTGATCCATTTTATGGACTTGTGAAGTTTGATGGTTTGGTGATATTAGTTGGTAATTTGTTCGTTCTATGATTGGTTGTTATTTCAGTAGCTTCTTTCATCATCTTTTTTTTTTTTGACGCGCTTTTTTCATCTTCTGAGTGTTTAAGTTCTGGATCTGTCTTTTTTCCCAAATATGTAGGTGTAGGTACAACTTCCTCTGCTCTTGGTGAAGATGGTGTTCTGGACATAGACACAAACATATCCCTGGAAACTACCTGGCATTCTATGGAAGATCTAGTCTCCATGGGTTTAGTACGTAGCATTGGTATCAGGTATACTATGAGCTTCTTGATCAAATTTTGATGATCAGTTAGCAGTTTTAGATTGTCATCAACTATATCCTGATGAAATAATTAAGAAAATCAATACTGGGGTCTGATTTTGAAGTATTACACCTATGAACATAATTATCACGAAGCACCAATAAAAAAAACACAATTAATAAAAAAGCTACCCGAGCAGCTAAATCGTCCAATTTATCCATTTCTTTTGAAATGTTAAATGATGTTGAAGATGATTTAAAAGAAAAAAAAAATAAAGAGAGAAATGCAGTGTTTTCAACCCCCTGCCGCCCCGTTGACCCGGCCGGTTAAACTGTTCAAACTGTCACCTGGCTATTAGTCCGGGTCTAATTCTACTAAAACCCAGACGTTGGTCAAAAACTGCCCAACCTGGGCGGTTGGACCATTGGCCCATTAGACCTGATGACCAGGTCATGGGTTGCACACTAAATGTGTATGCAAAATTCCAGAGGCCATAACTTTGCACTACTATATTCGATTGTGAATTTTTTTTTCCATTTTGGGCAACTTTTTGAGTTTGATCTATGTGTCCCAAGGCACCAAATCCCCCACTTTTTTTTTTTTACCAAAACCCCCCTTTGGCCTCAAATTGCAAATTTTAGCATTTTCTACAAATAAAAATAAAAAACTGAGTAAAAAAATATAAAACGATGCATATAATAAAATACGTGTTTATATATATATATATATATATTCTGATGTTGCATAGTTTGACTTGGATGGTTGAGCTGGTGACCCGCGATCCGGAGGCAAAAATTGTTCGGCCTCCGGATTTGTTTTTAAAACATCGGAGAATGAAGAAGAAATGCATGTGGCCAACCTCCAATATGCGACATGCATGTCATGTGCGTATGTAAGAAAGGCAGGGACCTCCTTGTTCTGTCTGGACTTGGGTATCCTCCAACTTGGAACTTCTGTCCAAAGAGACTGATCAAAACCAGTTTTTAATGTGATTGAAACAATAGTTGCACTTGATTCGAAAAATGATTCCAAGCGTGCCATGCGTGGCAGGATTACAAACTAGGGGAGGAAAATTTCCACCTAACCGTTGTTCAAACTTGAGTTGCTCGTTTTGTTTTTGAAAGCTCATTCAGTATTTCTTCAATTTAGATTTTAGAATACCAAATCTATTAGAATAACAAGAATGATTTATTTGCAGCAACTATGACATATTTCTTACAAGAGATTGTCTAGCCTACTCAAAAGTGAAGCCTGCGGTTAACCAGATTGAAACACATCCTTACTTCCAACGTGATTGTCTTGTTAAGTTCTGTCAGAAGCATGGGATCTGTGTCACAGCTCATACTCCACTTGGGGGCTCAGTAGCCAACGTTGAGTGGTTTGGTTCAGTCTCGTGTTTGGAAGATCCAAATCTCAAGGTATGTGCAATCACACACAAATATCAATTCTCTCATAAATTCATCTATTTGTGAAAGCGAAGAGTAGTTCTAAGTGGTCCTCTGATGGTGAATGATTTCTCCTTGATCAGGGTCTTGCTGAAAAATATAAGAAAACAGTTGCGCAGATACTTCTCCGCTGGGGGATCCAGAGGAACACAGTTGTCATCCCTAAAACATCAAAACTTGAGAGGTTGCAGGAGAATTTTCAAGTTTTCGATTTTGAGCTGACCAAGGAGGACATGGATTTGATCAAGACTGTGGATAGGAAACATAGGACCAACCAACCAGCCAAGTTTTGGGGCATAGATCTTTATGCATAAATAGGTCCGACAAATCTATATGAAGTGGACCCCCTTTTTTTTTTTACAGAACTGCACCGAAAGACTGAGAAATGGATAATCCGTCATTTTACTCGTTTTTATCGGTAATATACAATATCTGACCATTTTAGTTAATTTATTAATGTTATTCAATCGCAATCGGGTTCTAGGAAAAACTTGTATGATTGTATTATAAAGGTGGTAATCAATCAGGTGGTGTTCACTACAATTCACCCAGGGGTGGGGTGGGGTGGGGGGTTTGATTGAACAAAGCTCTTTTGATACCATACCTTTCCATATTATAGATTTATCCGCTATGGGAACATATCCCTTTTAGTCTCCTTGCAGATAAATAAGGCTCTGTTTGGACAAATCTTTACTCTTGAGCTTTGGGTTGTGAAAAATAAAATTGAGTAAAAAGTGTTTAAAGTGTTTGGTTGCAGTTGCTTTTAGAAAGATAATAGTTTTTAAACCCCAAGACACAGTGCCTTTGGGAGGACTGAGCTTAAGATTCAGCTAAGTTGTTTTGGAGGACTTTAGACAAACTATTTAAAGAGGCTGAAGTGGACAGTCCTTCAAATGACTGGGTGACGGTTGATTCAGGTTCTCTGTATTTATCACAAAGCAAAGCTTATAGGCTATCCGTGTTGGGACTATCTAGAAGTCAATGTGGCAATGTGATTTAACCCTCCCAAAGGGGCAGCAGAATTGGGTCTTTGTGCTTTTTAGGCTTTAAAAACATAAATCGTGACGCTTATAATCTGAAAAGTTAAACAGATATATATAGTGTTTGAAATTTGAAAAGAGTCATGAATGCTTTTCAACTTTGAGGCTATGAATAGATAAAGTTGGTTGTGTTGGATAACATCTAAAATTCCCTTTATTATTTTACCCTTAAAACATACTATGGTAAATTTGAGTTCATAAATAATTTATTAAATTCAAAATAACATTAAAAATAAGAATAAAATTGAAAAATACATATAAATTTATATTGAAAATAAATTATTAAGAGTTAAAATAATAATGAAAATAGTAATAAATCCCATGAAGCAATGAAAACAATATTTAATAATTATCAAATTATTAAATTAAAACTATTAAAATATTTAAAAATTTAAAAATTAATAATTAATACAAATAAAAAATATAAAAAATAAAAACATTAATATTTAATAAATTTATAAATTAAAAATAAATTTATAATTTGATAATTATTATAAATTATCAAATTGAGATGGCCCGAGTCAGAATTGCCATCTCCATGGAAGGTTTCACTTCTCAGTGGTCCCTAGCGTGATCTCTATGTCCATGTCCTGTTTTTCTAGCTCTCTCAAAATTGAAAAGATAATCCATTAATCCAAAAAATAATCCATCCATCCATGACTTTCAGTTTTAGCTTCTCTCTACCACTCTCGAAACCTTCCTTGTTGCTTCCTTCTCCCTCTCATGAACTCCACAGACACAACCACTAAGCTAGACTCAGAACCTGAGCCGTTCAAATCTCCGTCAACTCCCTGGTGTTATCTGACTCCTTGCTGGAAAAGAGCATAGGAGTTGTCGTTGTTGGAGTTGGGCTCACCGGATTAGCTGCTGCTACTAGGCTCCACTCGGATAGTATCCCATTTGTCCTCCTAGAAGCTTCGGACGGAGTTGGTGACCGTGTTAGAACCGACGTTGTCGAGGGATTTATCCTGGATCGAGGGTTTCAGATCTTCATTACTGCCTACCTTAAACAAGACCGCTGCCAGCCGACTGAGAACAACGATAGTGGCGGCCGACAGGAAGACAGGGGAGGGAGGGAGAGGGAAATCGAACAGGACCGCTGATTGAGAACGCCGCTGCTGAGAAATCAAAGAGGACCGCCGCTGAATGACTGAAAACAACGGTAGTGGCGGTTGGCGAATATGGTGTTTCTTCGAGTTCTCCGTCGTCATCTCCCTTCGAGTCTTGTCCCTGCACCACCGATGGTTAGGAGTCAAATAAAAAAAAATTGGGTTTAAAAAGGGATGTATATTTGAATATTATGAGGGGCATTTAAGACTTTCAAACACATCTGAAACGTATTTGAGTGTGTTCAGTAATGGCCCATGATCTAAACATTTCGGATTTGAAACTCAATTTCAAATCAATTTTAAGATGAATACCGCTTTTGGAGTTTAAAAAGTAATGTTATTAGATTTCAAACCTCTTAAAAGCATTATCAAACGCTACCTTAGTGTAAACTTGATTGCATGGACCGCAGAATAGCTATTTATCTGGCTGGGTAATTTCTATTTAATTTTTTGCTTCACAATAGGAAAGGACATTCACAATATGAATGTGAATTGTTATGAGTTCCACATATAAATTAAAGCCATCCTCCTTGGAAACAAATTGCTTCTTAAAACAAACAAAGAAAACACATTCCTACTTGAATGCACATTTTATTTACAAAACAGAAACTAAATTTCTTGTTCAAACATGATTCCATCCACCGTAGTGGGGGGTTGGCAACATAACAACTGTCAAATTAGCAAAATGAATATATTCTTGCTGATGTGGCAACTGTTTTTCTTTTGGAAAACAAAACCATACACATTTATAAATACCCCACTATTGATTTGATATCTTGTTTTAGAAATCACATAACATCTGCTTTCCAAATTTTGTTTGCAAGTTCCAAAAACCAAATCAAAACCATTTGGTTTGATAAGAAGTTGGTTCTTAAAACAAACACATGAAATATGCTTTTGGTTATGTATACATTTTTTTTTTCAAATTTCATACAAAAATGTCATCTTCAATTTAAAGCCAAGTCTAGGAGTGCTTAAAAATAATCACTTATTTTGGGCCGGAACCATACAATTAAGTATTTATTGATGATTGGGAAGTAAGTCTGGAATAACCCCAAATTTCCAGCTTTTTTTTAGTGCTTAAGGTTATATTTGGTTGCAGTGCAATTTTATTTGTACTAATACAAATGCATGAGATTGCATGAAAAAAATGCAAATTCTCATTTCATTTTGTTTTAGGTTTTATTTTATTCTTTTTTATATCTTAATTTCATTTGTACTGCAATCAAACAAAATAAGCTAAAAATTGAAATAAAAATAGGCCAGAATTTTGCACTCTAATCATTTATACGGCCATAGTTTTTGCATCAGTGCAAATTTATTTGCATTGCAACCAAACACAACCTAAACAATAAGTACTCGTTCAAATTTTATTTATCAAAACTGTCCCCGTTTATTTTTTAAATTTCCAATCATGCCCTTCGAAGGTAAAAATGTAGGGTTTGAGACATCAGGCTGTCTTCTCCTTTGCCTTCTGCAACGAGTGGCATAAGGCAGGCGTGTACAGAAGCCTCTAGGCCCTCTACCACGTACACCCAATAGACGATTGGTCAATTGTTGTAGAGGTACAAGCTTCTACCACGTATACCCAATAGACGAAGCATCTCGACCCCGCGAAACCTATTTCTCGAATTCTCTCTCTACGCCTTCCCTCCGACATGTAGTAACTAGCGACTGATTCGTTTCGTCACCCTTCACCGAAAAGAAAACCTAAGTTGTGACTTGTGAGGGATTACAAATATTCAAATCGTGTCATTTCAGTCGTGACTTCGAATCTACTGGTTGCAGAAGGCAACCAGCGGCGGAGGGAAGTTGAGACATCAGATATTCTTCTCCTTTACCCATCTTCAATCTACCACCGGTGGATTTTGAATCTACGGTTTCCCTGTGGTCACATCTTCTCACTGTTTCCCTGCGGGCAGTAATCTTCTGCGTCCAGATTGCCATATATTTTGAAAATTTAAAGAAAAATAAAAGACAAAAGAGTCAAAGTGTATTTAAGTGCTTATGAAAGAAAAAGATCACCAATTCCCAAACATGGCCTAAGATTTATAAAGCCTATTTTGATCTATATATTTAATGTCATATTTGTCTTTTTAAACCATATTTTTTATAGTTTCAAAATGTCTTTGAAATCATCAGAATGATGGTTTTTAAAGCAAAAACAAATCTTTTAGTAAAGAAATTATATGATTCATAGAACATCATATTAAATAAATAGATGAAAACATATTCTTTATACCAGAAATTAAAGAACACTTGTTTTTGTTTCAGTTTTGGAAACAAATTACAAATATATAACCAAGAACATTTTTTCTGCGATTTTTGTTAAGAACTAATTTGTTTTCAAACTAGCTGGTTTTGTTTTGTTTTCGGAAACTTGCAATCAGGGAAAAAAAAAACATTTCACATTGAAGAACACCCCCTTGATGGTTCAAAACCTTGAATTATTTTCGAGATAAAACCAACATGCTTTTGCTTCTCAAAACAAAAAAAACACAGTTCAAGAATGTCTTTCATTTTTTTTTTTTGATTTGACAATTTTATAAACAGATGAAAAACATTCATGTTGTAGAATTCCCCCCTTGGTGAAAAACATAACAAATTAATCACAACAGTTCATTTGAATTTGGCATGTTGTTTGGTCAGAGGTGTATAATCATATTAATTTTAATTTCAATATTTTGTGTATAAGAAAAATTGATCTGGTGGTTATTCTCATAGAAGGGCTAAAGGGAGGCTAGAAAGAAAAGAGGCAAATAAGAAATAATCTAGGAACTCAAAGTTCGACTGAGGAAATAGCCTTGATAGTGTAGCATGACCAAATAGGATTTGATAATAGCTGATTTAATGTAGTGACCAGTGCTTTCAGACCATTGTTGACTGAGACGGTTGAACAGGTGACCTGAATATATCCCGTTATTTGATGGTTTTGACTTTGGTCAATGAGCTAAGTCTAATTGAACTACCAAACCTGCCACCTGGCCAATTGTCTGGGTGTCAAAAGGTCCAGATTTTGAAACACCGGTAGTGACTGGGGTTTGCTGATTTAAGTTTTTTATCTCCTTCGGTGACACAAATTCCTTTTCCTTCTAATTCTTTTCAGAGTTAGATCTTATACAAAGCATTTCCATAATTTACATAAAGAAAAAATCGAAAAGACAACCAAATAGAATACTTCCATTAAGCTCAACTGAGATCATTAAAACTTAAAAGAGCCTCTTGCTGGTATTAAGTACATATTGGCTTTATAGCCTCACTAAAGCACATTGAACAATCTAAAGACCATATACAAGCCCTCTAAAGGGGCGCATGTTTAATAAATATAAGGAATAATAGCACGCCTGTTAGGGGGGTAGTTATCAAACTTACGTATATACCACCTTTGTGTTTCTGCCGCTGCAAAGGCAAGATTTGCCACCTATGACGCCATTCAATGCAAAAGCTTTGGTTTCAGAGAAAAATGAAAAGACAAAAAGTGATACAGAAGTATTCAGAACGAATTTCTGATAAGAGTCAGGGAGGGAAGATACCACAAATCCAAAGAGTAACCAAATTGTAAGGTCTGAACCTCCACTAGCAATCACAAGACCAGCATATATAACCTGCATTACACCAGAGAAGAAATTTGAATATTAACAAACCAGGACAAAAAAGAATGCAAAGCGCTTAAGCATTAGCATGATGAAGCACTTTCCCCAGAAAAATCTTACAATTTCAGCAAGGTAATGTGGACATGAAACAATTTCAAACCAATCACCCTGAGGGATTACATACTCATCAGTTTGATCTCTTTGTTCTCGCAGTGAACCCTGTTAAACACTTGGAAATTTTGGTAAATGTGCAAAACAAGAAAACAGAATTCCAATTTAGAACTTTACCTCCTCCCCCCAAGAAAAGGGAAAGTCACATTTTAGTGTGATCAGGAATTTAAAAATCTATATTGTGATCAGGAATTTAAAAAGAGAAATTCACCCATGTTTTTGAGGCTCCATCTGGCACTATTAACGACTGATCCCCTGGGTGGTGTTTGTGTGTTTTTACCCAAGGATCTACTATTTTTCTATTTTCTTTCTATTTCCTTATTTCCCCCTATTTCTCTTGATTTACTCATGGAAACATGGATTGACCTGCTGAGTCAGATGGCTGAAAATACGCCATTCATGCATGAATTATAGCTTTAGTATATTTCTTTCAAATAAGAAGTTAATTATGAAAGGACCGTTGGATGAAATGAGATTGAACTTGGTGGATATGTAGGAATCTTTAGCGTTGCCACCTCAGCTGCCATATATTACTGAATTGTATACCAGTTCTGCAGTTTGATCCCAATTCCCTCTTGAAACTCCATCTTTGATAGATCAATAATAAAAAGCTTGTTGTTCAAGCTTTCTATTTCCAAAACAGTTCCAACACCAAAAAATAAATTTAGATAAATCATTACAAACTCAAGATGCATGAGTACAGTTAACAAGAACATATGTGGTACCAGGACATGATTCTAAATGATCAAATAATTCTTATTTTGTCAAGCAAATTAACTGATGGTTCAACACTGACTGGCAGGACATAATTCTTACAAGAGACGTTTGGGTGGAGAGGAATGTTAAAATATTTGAAAAAATGCTCAGTCAGAAGAGGTAGTGGTTAGAAAGATACAATGCATGCTTTCTCATGTCTGGGAGTGCATAAATTGTTAAAGGGAATACCTTATAGTCTCACTTTCTGAAAGAGATTCTTTTTGTGTAAAAGGGATTAGGTGATGAGGTGGCCTTTTTGTATATCATTTGTGCACAGTTCCTGGGTAAATGTGGGGCTATTGTAATTTTGTTTTGACACAGCAATACGATACAAAATTACAAATCTTTACTTTGCTCTTTTTCATAAAGAAAAAAAAAACCACTTACAAGAATTGAATGGCAACGGTGCTGATGAATCCAACCCCAAATAAAAATAGCAGCTCCAATCCACTGAAACCATCCAAGCATTATAAGAGGCTTCATACATCCCCACAAATCAAACTCAATAACTGACATGTTTTGTTGGCCTTTAACAATGAATTCAGCTACTTGATGAGCAGAAAATCTCAACACCTCCAGTGCATACCTACTGCAAAGTGATAATGGTGCTGCTGTATAAAAACTACCTTCAGAAAAATCAGAAAAGTCAAATGATATGGTTTAGCACATATGTACAAGTTACAGAAATGGTAACAAAAATAAAATATAAAAGCTGATATGGTATTAATCCAAAAATGATCTAGTTTTTTTTTATTGATCAAGAAAACAGGAAAAATCTCAATGTCAATATCCATTCCAAAACAAAAATCTAATAATAGGATATTGAGTTTCAATGCTGTATAGCTGGTGATAAAATGAGGGCACCTTCATGCATGCAAAGCCCAAGGCCTGCAAATTCAAAGGTTCTGAATAAAGTTATTACATGTTAAATAGTGATGGCCAGTTTTCAGCCAGTATGGTGGTAAAACTAGAAATGGCTTAGGAAAAATTGCAGTCATATTTTCATAGATATGCATCCCTCAAGCATCATTTTATACAAGGTTTGAGTTATTCACCAGGGTTTAATTACTGTTGTAGCCTTAGGCATTGAGAAAATTGTTTTTTAACTGCAAACTTTCCTTGTTGCATTTTCTCATCTGAAGGGGTGTCCTTGGGATCTAGGTTGCACCCTATACTTGATTTCTTCCCTTGCAAAAGAGTTCTTATGGAAAGAGAGTAAAGAGACTAGTAACCAAAACTATTTCATCCCCATTAAAATAGCACTGATAGCCGAACTCACAAAGTCACAATGGCTGGCACCCAATACAGTTCTCCTCATACAACTCTTCTGGCTAACTCCTGTTGATATTCTATTTATCTTGTTAGTGGTTGTAAGTTTTTATAAGTTTGAGAAGCATTACTATGGTTGCAGATCATCTAGCAACTTTATAAGTTAGTCTTGGATATGTCATTTATACTCTGTTTTTCTCATTATTTGTACAGGATGCATCTGTTTGAGATAATGAACTTTTGTGTCCCAGATTCTGTGAGTTGACAATAATGTTTTTCTCACCAGCAATTTTGATGAATATGACAAGTTCACAATAATAGTAAAACTGCAAGACAAATGGAACAACTCCAAAAGGACACAGCAATTTCTACAAGCCAGACATTATCCAAAGTACTAAACTAAATTTAAAAAATAAACTATGAAATAAGAAAATGTGAAGGAAATTTTCACAGGCATCAACGGACCAATAAAAAAAAGTATCCCTTGAAACAAAACGAATATAAATCATAGATTTAGCAATTGGTGAATTCAAACAAGCAATTATAATAGAGTTCAACCAGAAGGTATGTAATAAGCTTTTTTGAACATATATAGAAATGCGACACCATTCAAGCTTTAGCAAATGGATACCATGAAATGCATTATTCAGGTCAGCAGGATGTTTGAATTGACTTGCAACGTATGCTAATACATAAACCATACAGATACCATTTTAGTGGAGAAGAAACAATACTTCATATTGGAGATTGTTAAATTATCATATAGTCAAAACCAAAAGTAATTTGTGTATGGAAGAGGAGGTTACAAGGAAAAAAAATATAGATTGAGAAATGATCAGGAACTCACAAGATCCCAGTTAGATAGCCGAAAATGTGCATTCGAGCAGAAGGGCTATAGTTAAAAACATGAAGTGTCTCATAAAGGCGTCTCAAGACTTGAATTTCCATCAATAAAAGCAAAAACACAGTCTTCCAAACACTGTATCTATGCTTTACTGTGGTTGAATGAGACTTGTGCATGGAAAAGATATGTGCACCTCCAGTCAAGTAGCTCGCAACTGTTGAGTAATGCAGAGACTCAGAACCCAATGGAACCATCCGACATGCATAGAACCATGTCATAAGTAGCAGGACTGTTGTCCATATTACAGCCACCACATAAAAATGCAAGAAGAATTTCTGAGGGACAGTAAATTTCTACAGGTCCACAAGATAACAAGTCAGTTGAAACTTGACTAAGCCAATTAGGTTAGTTGGAAGAATAAGCAAATGAACTCGAAAGGATGTGTTGCAGTAGAGTTTTAATAGCACAGTAAACCAAACTTTAGCCCTTTGTTAAATATCTGCTTTTTCTTTGGTGATGAGGATGGGGGCATCTAATTCATTAAAAAGTAGTCCTAAATTTTGAAAAATTTAGCAAATGCCACTGTAATGAAAATTAAGTTAGCCATGAATCAACAACAATGGAGAAAACTACCTAATAGTAATTCAGTAACATAGATTTTTATTCTTTTCTTCTACCAAAAACAGAGTAATGTCGATATTTTTAGTTCTGCAATTGCCCAATATGGAAGTTTAGAAACTTCAGACACAAAATAGACAAAACTTGAATAGAAAGAGAAGTCTTTACCAAAAAAAAAAAAAAGAAAGAGAAGCAAAACAGATTAACAGAATGAGCTTTTCTTCTGATTACCAAAAAAAAGAGCTTTTCTTCTACAGTTCTACTAGACTTACATTTGAAGAAAACTGCATGATCTTCCCTCTTTTCGCGAATCCCAAGATAGCTCCATGAAAAGAACTGAGACGAGAGGAGGGTATGGAAGCAACCAGTATGGGCAATATTCCTGCGATCCATGCTGCTCTGAGCACTAAAGCAAGCCTTAACTTCATGGTTGCAAGAGCTACTGCGATGGAAACAGGAAAGGAGAGAGAGCTTTCAGCTTCAAAACAGAGGTTTCTGGTGGAATCCCTAAATTCTTTAGGTACACGGCTACACGCACACGGCAGTTTCCTTTTTGTTTTGGCTCGAAATAGAAAGAAGTTGCAATTTTTTTTTTTTTTGTTTTTTGAATTTTCAAGAGCAGCCACTGAGTGGTAGACACCGTATGGTTCTCGTGAGTTACTGAACGATCAAATAATCGCTCTCAGGAAGGCGAGTGAGCTCGAAGTAATACCAGGCGTGAAGTTTTGGAATTCAGAAGGGAGCTTGTCACTGCGTAATGTGCATTTCTGGAAGCAAAGAAAGAAGGAACAAGGAGACAAGACAATACCTTTCTCTTACCACGGTCTTCTTTTTCTTCTTCCTCTGTTCAGAAGGATCTCGAGACGCAGAGTCCGACAGAGGGAGGATTGGAAGACGCTACCATTGTAACGATAGCAATGCTCTTCGACAAATGAAGGTCTCTGACTAGGATGGGGTCTATTGGATGGCGTTGACTAGATTCCAATCTGACGTTAAATAAATGCTTTCCACTGTCATCTTTACTATACGGTCCAGATACTTGCCTTGGCTTCACCGTCTCTGGAGTCTGATCTCTCTCTCTCTCGTACGTGGAGCCATTCAACTAGGAACAAATGAAGCAGAAAGTAGTCAAAGCCGCGCGGCAGCAAAAGCAATATGCCACATTTGACGGTCATTCTAGTTGGACGCAATAAGACGAGTGTCGAGGGTTTTCAGCTCCTATCGCACAATTTCGTAATCTTCGAACTCTACAGAATTCGAACTCTCTTTGGTTTATTTAGAAAATAAGAATGATAGTAGATAACTTGTGTGCGTATAGCGCCACTAATCGTGTTTTGCTCTCTACATCCAATTCCGCATAGTAATATTTCCTCACTCGAAGGTTTCCTTCAATGGTTTTGCAAAAATAGCAAACAAGTATTAATTCTACTGCTACCTAGGGTTCTATAACGTACACCCACTCTGGACCTTTTTGTCTGGGCTGGTAATGGTAACGATTCTTCAATGTTTAATAGCAGAGTTGTGATTCAGAATGAATACAAGGCGTCCTCCTCCCGATCCAGTTGCAGTTCTGAGAGGCCATCGTGCTTCTGTAATGGATGTTTGCTTCCATCCAACTAAACCTTTACTGTTTACAGGGTATAGCTATTTACTTGCTTTTTCTTTCTTTTCTTTACTATTTCCTTTTTTTCCTGTTGTTATTTATCTATTTCATCATATATATAATATATATAGATAGATAGATAGATAGATACTGGTGAATTTGAAAGTTCCGGATGTGTTTTATCCATTTTTTTTTCTTAGTAACCGTAGTACTAAGAAAAATAAGAAAATATAATGAAGGATATTCGATATTTAAGGGCCTTATTTGAATTGGTGGATGTTTATACAGTGCTACTAATGGTGAGTTGCGGATTTGGGACACAACCCAACACAGGACACTTTCTTCTTCATGGTACAGTCTTTTGATTTCTTTAATTCGCCCAGATTTCACTTTTGATGTTGAGCCCATGGAGTTCCAAATTTATGCATATCATTGGACAAGTTCTGGTGGAAAATGTATTCCAGGGTGCATACTGCAGCACATGGGATCATTTGCATTGCTACCAGTCCTTTGATTGGAAACAACAAAATTGTCAGGTGCATTTCCTTCCTGTTCATTCATTCTTACCAGGAATTTTAAGATTTTGAATAATCTTGAATATCTCACAAAATTTCAGGCTTCTTTTGACTTTGAATTGAGTTTGATGATTTACTTTTATTTCGTTTAATTGCATGTAGCCAAGGTAGGGATGGAACTGTTAAGTATTGGGATATCGAAGAGGGAGGCCTTCTCAGGTAGTTGACCTTATGATTTGTTTGTCCATGTTTTTCTTTTTTCATGAATTTCAAACCTTTTGAATTATCCATGGATGGATTTGTCTGCTAATATTTCTTTGAGTAATTTTCTGTTTGGATGTTGTTGGTATACATGATTAATTGATAATTTGGCCTTTTTTTTGTTTTTGTATGGTCAGGTTAATGAAATGACTACTAAATTCCAAAGTTTCTAAGTTTCTTGGCCAATATAAATTAGGAAACCTGGGTATGTCAAAAAAGCATGGGAAGCAATCATGTTTTATGAGGCAGACAGGTTCCAGGCACATTGTGGGTTAAGTTCATCCATTTGTGTTTTAGGCTTTCAGCTTATACCTGGAAGGTTCAGTTACCTTTTCTCACAAAAAAGGGTTGAGTTTTGGCCCAGAGATATCCTATTTGTGATGGAACAGATTGTTTCCCTGTTCACATGTGGCATCACATCCCCACAGTATGAGATTTCTGTTATAAATGTACCTTATTTTAACTCATAAGACACACAAACATTTTTGTAGGTCCTAAGGTTGAGAAAAGGGAAAGCAGAAGAAAAGAAAAATGGATAAAAGTTCTCGAGGTTTATATGGGCCTTTTTATGGCTTCCACAATTGTCAATAGCCTGCTTTTCACAAATCCATATGAACCCAATCCCATGCCATGGGCTTACAATTACGCTTTACACATATAGGCCCAAGCCTAATGAATCTTGTAGTTGAGCCTGAAGTACGTGAGTTTAGATCCATGCAAGAGAGTCTATCTTGTGATAATTTAACTCAATTGTCCAGCATGAATAGGTGCTACTTAATATGCAAAGGGTTCTCCCCAATCTTTTCATGAGATGGTTTAGATCCTCAAGATTTTCTGGAACTATGTAGGATTTATTTGTTTAGTGCAACTTGTTGTACATTTCAGCCTTAAAACCGTTAGCTTTAAACACTCAAAGAGTTATACAGAAAACTAAATAAAGTTGAACTTATTTTCAAAAAAGCCCTTAGCTTTAGAATGTAGCCTAACTTACAACCCTTAAACCCCTTTAATATATATTCAATACCTTACCTTTAGGCTATGTTTGGTTTGGAGGAAAAGGTAAGGAAAGGAAGGGAAAGGTATGAAAACCTATACAAAGTTTGTAAAGGTTTCCTTACCTTTCCCTACTTTTTCCTTCAAACCAAACATAGCTTTAATTCTTAAAAATAATTCTCAATTATTTGCATTCTGGTTGAGCATCATACATATAAACTTCTGCATGTAATTTAATGTTAGTTCTGAAATTATAAGTTGCTGTCATCTGGCCTCAAACTTTGGCAGTTTGGCTTTCATTTTTCTTTCTTTCTTCTATTTGTTCCTTCTTTTTTTGCTGTTCTTTTTTTTTGCTCTAAACTCTTGCACTTTGATTCTTGACAGGACACCTTCAGTTACTATCAAAACAAATTCTTACCATTTCTGCAAACTTTCATTAGTGAAGACACCAAGTCATTGTTTGGTGCAAACCCAAGCTGATATCTCCCCTATTGATGTACCTGTTGAGCAACTAAGTAATAAAGTACTCAAAGAATGTAAGGATGATGATATGGAAGCACGACAAACTTCTAGTGTGGAAGTTCTAGATGGTATTAAAAGTGAAAGTATTGAAGGAGGTCAAACTGAGAGCATTTTTCAAATGAAAGGTTTGTATATTTTGCAAATTATTATCCAAAATTAATGTATATTTGGATGCATTTGTACTTGATGACTTGATCTTTTTTTTTTTTTTATTAGTAGTGGTTAAAATTTTATTGATGTATTTAAAAGAATGATGTACAGTCATGATTCTACAAAGCACCTTTAAGATTGGGCCAGTATCAGTGACCCACGCCTGTTTATGATTTTTAACTTACAAATTACATACTTCCCTCTTGGAAAGCGTCCCACCAATATAGTTGATCTATTGTTACTCCTTGTCATGCCAGAGCATCAACCTAATTGTTGGCTGATCTTTGAATCCAATTAAATGTTACACTTAGTTTGGCTAGTATAGCTTGCTCGTTTCAGTTGCTTGCCAATGCTTTGATAACCTACTTGTTGCTAATGTTATTCATTTGTTGATTTTTGGGCTGATATCACTTTTTTTTTCTTTATTTACATAACATAGTTAGGGAGTTATTGGGCCCAAGGCCCATTGGTTTATGTTTAATTTAAGAGTGTTTATATAGATTTACAAGTAGCCGACTTACTAAGAGCATACTTGTCTTTGTATTCAGTTTTTATTTGTGAGTATATAAGCTAATGAAAGGGGCAGCCAAACCTAATTTTGGGCTTCTCCCATTATCTTCAATTTCTTTCTTCTTTTCTTCTCTTCTTAAACCTTCTATTCTCTTTCTTTTCTCTTTCTTACACAGATTTTATATCAAAATAGATTTACACTTTTCTACTTGGTATTAGAGCAAGTCCAGAGATTATTTGAGCTGTTTCATCATGCAACCCTAGATCAACCAATTGCATGATGAGGTAAAGAGCTGATAGAAGGCTTTAAGTAAGCTCAGTTTTTGGATTTTTTGGTGGATTTGCAATCCCTTGTAGCTGGCGCTCTAGTTTTTTAGGGTTTCTTGAGGTTTTTTGAAGAGGGGGGTTCAAGTCCCAGCCATTTTGGAGGTCTCTGGAGGGAGTGACAACCTTTTCTCTTTCTTTTCCTACTCCCACAGAGAAGGGAATCTTTGGAGGGAGGAGCTTCTAGGGTACCAGGAAGGCCTTTGAGGTTTCTAAAGGAGATAAATCTCTTTCTTTTCATCTCAAATTGATTTCTTGATTTACTCTGGGAGTTATGGAGGGTTATGGAGTTGAAAACAAATTTGTAGGTGAAATGGGACTAGGTGAAGGAGGAGGTACTGGTGATCTCTTCGGGGCTGAGACCATCACTACAGTCAAGATGGATGGTATAAGCTACTTAGAATGTTCACAATCTGCAAATATGACCATTAGAGCTCGTGGGAAATTGGGGAAAGAAACTTGAGAATAACTACTCTCGGTGAGTATAGGAGAACTACATGGTGATGACTTGGCTGTGTAATTCCATGTTACCTTATATAAGAACTTTTTATGGGCTAACACAACTAAGGAGATTTGGGATGGAGTGGCAGAAACTTATTCATAGAATGAGAATGTTGCTAGAGCCTACTGGTTGAGAAACCAAGTGATTGCTACTAGGTAGGGAGATAAGTCTGTTGCCATTTATTTTTCAGCCCTCAAAACCTTATGGCAGGAGATGGATCATTTGGAGACTGTGGTTTGGGAAAGTAGCAAAGATGCATCAACTTATCAAAAGTTGGTAGAGAAGAATAGGGTTTTTGAGTTTCTAGTAGGACTTAACCTTGAATATGACATTGCACGACAACATATTCTTTCTTGAGATAGTGTAACTCTCTCTCAGACATATGCCTTTGTGTTTGGAGCAAGGTTTTAAAAGGCTAAAGGTGGAGGCAAGGCAGTTGGATGTAAAAGAGGCAAAGCCTAAGCCTCAAGGCGTTTTGAGGTGTAAGCCTCGAACAAGAAAAAAAGAAAAGAAAAGCTATGCATTTATATTTATTAGAAAAGAAATAAATGAAGGAAAGATAAGTTATTTTTTCTAGATTTACATTACTCGACCCAACCTGAATTTGACATGATTTAGGGATCAAGCTAACAATTTTTTTTTATTAAAAAAATAATCATATATAGTGCCAAACTTTTTATTTTCTTTTCATTTTATATTTTCTCTAATACTTTTTTCCTTGGGTTGTTTTTTTTTTTTTCATTGTGGTTTAAAAGCATGGAGGTTGGTTTATTCTTTGTATCTCCATTGTTGATAAAAAAATACTTTGTAGTTCTATTGGTTTGTTTTAGACTTTTAATTTTAGCTACATGGTCCATAAAGAAGTTATTTGGATGAGGTAACTTAGAGATGATTTGATAATAGCTGAATATGCTGAATTGAAAAAGGTTATTGCTTTGTCTTTTAGTGAATAAGTTCTTAAGGAGGTTGTGGACTCCTTAATGGCATAAACTAAAATTGGGTAGATTACTTTACCCTTGAAAATTTTATCATTTAATTATTTTAACAACTAAGTTAATACTAACTCCTCTTAATAATATTTTTTCTTTTGAGAAAAGTTAACAATTTTATTGAAGAAAGGAGAGGTACACAAGAGTGTGTACAAATACAAGAGAGGGGCGAGTCCCCTGAGAATTACATAGGAGGGCAGGAATCACAGTACAAAGACTCTAGAATAACTCCTAATTTTGCTAGACCATCTGCCATTACATTTAGTTCCCTTGGGATCCAGGTTAGAGAAACATTCAAAGGAGCCAGGAGGTCCCTTGGCTCTGATAGGAAGTGATTAAGTCTCCAAGGTCCAGTTTCCTGTTGTTCCAACCATCTTATAGTATTGGTTGAGTCACCTTCAATTGAGAAGCTTTGGATACCCAGTTTGCTGACTAGGCAAATCCCTGTTAGAGCTGCTAACACTTCTGCCTTTGTTGAGTCAGCTATCCCAATCGGACCACTATAAACCCAGCATGTGTGGCCATTCTCATCTCTTAGAATTCCTCCAATGCCGGCAGCTCTGGGGTTACCATAAGCACTCCTCTTAATAATATTCCCCAAAAAAGTCCTTATTTAAGCCTTAGGCCTTGTACATCACAAGGCTAAAGGCTTAAAGGCGTAGGCCTCGAACAACTCAAGGCCTAAGCCTTGGCAATGGAGAGAAAGGCTATAGAGGTCACGCCTTTTTGGTTAGCCTTGCCTTGAGGCTTAGGCCTTTGGCCTCGCCTCAATAGCCTTTTAAAACCATGGTCTGGAGAGGAGTGTAGGAGTGTGATGATGAGAAACCCAAGCCTTGAGCAGTCAGCTATGGCTAGCACACTGAAGCCTAAGCCGAGTGGGGATAAGGGTGGAAATGAACCGAGGAAGGATGACAAGAAGGATTAGAGTCATCATGTCAGTGAGAACATTGAGTCAGAGTCGGTGGGTTAGATTATGCTTTAGCATAATCAATTAGGGCATTGTCTTTTGCTTCTTTGTGTTTTTTGTTTCCAAAATTGTTTTAGTTTGTCAGTTTGTCCAACTTAGAGTGTGAGGGTTGCCAACTTGGAAAGCATTGTAGACATTCCTTTAAAGTAAGCAAGAAAAGATGTTCTTTTGTTTTTGATATTGTTCATATTGATGTGTGGGGGCCATACCATATTTCCTCTATGGGTGGACATTGGTACTTTCTTTTGTTTGTTGATGATTATTCTTGACACTCTTGGATATATTTGATTAGATGCCGTGATGAAGTAGTCTTTGGTTTAGCAGTTCTATCAGATTGTGCTGACGCAGTTTGGGGTACGAGTGAAAGTATTTATATCAGATAATTCTAGGGAATACTTTGAAAAAAATCTGGCATCATACCTATTAGAGCATGGAGTAGTCCATCAGAGTAGTTGTACATACACTCCATAACAGAATGGTGTAGCAGAAAGGAAGAACAAATATATTGTGGAAGTAGCAAGAAGCATGATGTTGAGCTCTACAGCTCTAGTTTGTTTTCGGGGTGATGCAGTTCTTATAGCAGTTTTTTTTTTTGATTAATCGGGTGCCTTATAGTGTTCTTGGATATAGCACTCCATTCAACCTTTTTCCTGAGGAAGAGATGATCCATATTCCTCTAAGGGTTTTTGGATGTGTTTGCTTTGTCTAGGTTCTTGGTCCTCACTGCTTAAAACTAGACCCTAAGGCGAAGAAGTGTGTCTTCCTTGGGTATGCTAGAAATCAGAAGGGGTATTATTGTTATGGTCCAATCTTCGGGAGTCGGTATGTTACTATGGATGTCACTTTTTTTGAACCCATACATTTTTTCTCGGGGGTTTCTTCTCAGGGGGAGTGTTTTGGGGAAGGAAGTGAGCAATCTATACCACTTCCTGTACTAGCTCCTTTGTCCACTCCAGTGTCTGACCCACCTACTCCACCCACTTTGCCACTGTCATTGCGTCTTGCCTCTTAGTGTTTTACACAACAGTGCCTACAAAACGAAAACACATGGAGGTTGATTCCACAACAGAGGAACCCATGTCACTCCATATCGGCTGATCGGAGATTCCAGGTTCGATTGACATGGACCCAGGTATGCCTCATGTTTCCTTTGATGGTTTAGTTCCTTTTGATACTACTACCCCTGCTCCTAACACCATTGCAGATGACCTAGATCTCCATATTGCACTTCGAGAAAGGAAGATGAAGTGTATTGCTCATTGCATCTCATACTATCTTTCTTATAGTGGATTATCTCCTTCCTACCGGGCCTTCCTTTCCTCCCTTGACTCTGTGTCTATACTCAGGAGTGTTAGTGAGGTTCTTTCCAAACCTGAGTGGAAGACAACTATGCAGGAGGAAATGAAAGTATTGATTAAAAATTAGACATGGGAGATTGTGGATTTACCTAATGGCAAGGAGATAATTGGATGTAGATGGGTTTATACAGTGAAGTCCAATGTTGATGGAAGTATAGAAAGGTACAAGGCGAGATTGGTTGCAAAAGGGTGCATTCAGACTTATGGCATAGATTACTTGGAAATTTTTGCACCAGTGGCAAAGATGAGCTTAGTCCGGATTCTTCTGTCACAAGTAGCTACATACTCTTGGCCACTCTTCCAATTTGATGTGAAGAATGCTTTTCTCAATGGGGACTTGCAAGAGGAGGTGTATATGGATCTTCTAGCTAGCTTCTACAATGATGCAACAAAAGGAAAGGTATGTAGGTTGAAGAAGTCTTTATATGGTTTGAAGCAATCACTTAGAGCTTGGTTTGATAAGTTTAGAAGTGCATTGGTTGTATTTGGCTATACTCAAACTTAATCTGATCATACCCTTTTTGTTAAAAGGAGGGAGTCATTGGTGTTGGTTTTAATAGTGTATGTGGATATCATTGTAATCATAGGAAACAATTTGAGTGAGATTGATACCTTGAAGAGGAACCTGCATAAAGAGTTTGAGATTAAGGATCTTGGGGAGCTTAAATACTTTATGGGCATTTAGGTGGCAAGGTCCAAGCATGGGATCTTTATCTCTTAGAGGAAGTATGTTTTGGACTTACTACAGGAGACAAGCTTAGGGCTAGGGTAGCTGATACACCTATTGATCAGAACCACAAGATAATTGCTTCAGAAAGTGAGCTAGTAAAGGATGTTGGAAGGTATTAGAGTTTAGTGGGCCGGTTGCTATACTTATGTATGACACGACCAAACATCTTTTATGCAGTGAATGGTGAGTCAATACATGCTTGCCCCACGAGTTCAGCATTGGGAGGCCATTTTCAAGATACTTTTCCTATTGGAAGGGACACCTAGGTAGAGGCATATTGTTTGCTGACCATGGACAGTTGAAGTTAGTGGCTTACACAAATGCTGATTGGGTAGGGTGCCTAGATGACGGGAGATCTATATAAGGAGTTTGCACTCTTGTTGGAGGTAATATAGTTTCACGGAAGAGTAAGAAACAACCAGTTGTAGCACGATCAAGTGTAGAAGCTGAATACAGAGCCATGACACATGGTGTTTCAGAGCTCCTCTGGGTTCGGTCCTTGTTAGGGGAGATTGGAGTTGAGGCCAAAGATCCTATGATGCTATACTGTGACAATCAAGCAACAATTAACATTGTCCACAACCTAGTTCAGCATGATAGGGCGAAGCATATAGAAGTGGATAGACACTTTATAAGGGAAAATGTGACATTCGGGGAAGTGTGCTTACCATATGTTGCATTTGACTTGCAGCTTGCTGATGTTCTTACAAAAGGTGTTGCAAGAAACAAGTTGGAACATGATCTACACAAGTTGGGAATGTGTGACATCTATTCCCAACTTGAGGGAGAGTGTTGAGTTTTGTGTTGATATCACCTGTTTTTTATTTAGATAGCATAGTTAGGGAGTTATTGGGCCCAAGGTCCATTAGTTTATGTTTAAGTTAAGAGTGTTTATTTAGATTTTACAAGTATCTGACTTACTAAGGGCACAGCTCCAGCCCTTGAAGTAGTGCCTTCAATTCTGCTGTTATAGGGTCTGCAACTCCTATGGTCCAGAGAAGATTGTAATGAAATCCCCATTTAAATAAGTGTCCATGCATTATTTTTTTTTATCAATAATGAGGTAACCTTTATTAACACGATGGTTCAATTATCAAAAAAAAAAAAAAAGGAACATGGTGGTTCTAGAAAAGAGTCACAATGTGTAAAATTTTTATTTGCTACATTTGGTTGTTAATCCTGTATCTGGTGTCTTAATTGTTTGGTGGCCTTGTAATATGTTTTCAGCCTTAATTTACTTTTTTTAATAAATTAAACTGAAGTGCTTTTTACATGATTCCAAACCTTCCAATATAGATAATTTTATCTTTTAATGCACCACTCTTATCTTTTCTATTTGTGTCTGACCCAAATGAATTGCCTGCCTGAAGGAGCAAAATACTTAACAATGTTACCCTCTAGCTGATTATTTTCTGTTTCGATTCTTAACATATATTTCAAGATTGTTTATACCTCCAACTGGTTACCTGATTTTTTAAGTGATCAGATTCTACTGAAGGATCAAAATTTGTGGCTGTAGCAGGGGAACAACCTTCTCAGGTAGAAATATTGCTTTTTCATATTTTGTTTCCTGGTTTCACTTGGCCATATCATTGCCTTACGTTACTATGTCATTAATATGCAAAGGTTGAGATTTGGGATCTCAATACTGCAGAAAGATTAGCATGCTTGCCTCAGATTTGTAATGAGGACTCCCTGAATCGTTCAACAAAGTCAAGAGGTTTGTTTCTGATTCCTATATCAGCTTTTGGCTTGTAAGACAATCTTGCCACATCTTTGAAGCCATCTCCATATTAGTATTGGTTGGACTTTGTGTCATGCCTCTTCACTCTATTTAAGAAGCATGACGATGAGATGCCATTTGAACATTTATAATGTGTTCTTTAGGCTCAGTTTGAGAAAAGTGTAAATACAAATATATGTAGTACAAAACCTTGTATATGTTATTTCTAAACCTTGTTTTTGCACTCTTCCCAAACTAAGCCTTATATGGGGTGAAGGCACTAATAGACTTTTTTTTTTATTGTGCTTTTTATTGAATAACAATTTTAGAAGTGTTGGATCGAGTGGTTTAGTGTTGGTGGGCTTATTTATCTTTTATGTTCCAGTTCTATAGTTTGTTATGGGCCTTTAGTTATTGGGCTTAAACCTGTTTTATTTTATTATGTCTAGGTGCCCCATCACTAATTAGGGGCATTCTAGTCTATTCCTGTAATATCTTATTGTTAATATATATAATAGCTTCTAGGGATGGCTGAGAACACATTGCCACCCATTCACAAGCTTCTTCTCTTCTCTCCTCTTCTCTTCTTCTTCTTCTACTATTGTACTTCAGCAAACATGGTATCTGAGCACCAATTGGCCTTGTTGTAAGGCTTGAGTGTTCATTGTAATTGATGTTAGTGGGACAGTTTCAGTTACTTTACTAGTCCTTTCTTTTTTTCTTTTCCTATTGTTCTTATTCTAGGATATGCCGCCAGGGGCATACTTGTAATTTAGCCTTTTTATAAAGATTAATATAAATAGAAAACTGGCGGCTGCCAGTACTGAGTTTTTTGGCCTTTCCTTTCTATCATCCGTACCTATCTCTCTCTCT